GTTTTTATTGTCTGGTCCCTCCTAGATGGGGAGTTGGAGGACTTGCTGGTATTGCACCTGCGATGATTAATGCTGAAATGCTTTTGTTTGGGATTGATCTTTTATTTTATGCTGTCTTTGCATTTTTGTTCTGGCAAACATATTACCCCAGACATGTTTAGGCTGATGTTGTTGACATGTCTCTCCTTTAAAAGTTTCTGGAAAGCACAAAAACAAACTGCAAAATTATTAATTTTTTTCCCTTTCTTTGTCTCTTGATAAATATATTACCAATGTCAGTGTTGAAAAAAAGAATTAAAGACATCACAGCCAGAATAAGCAGCTGTTTATGTCTAAAGTGTTTCTGCTTTGCTATATCGCAAGATGACCTTGTCACTTAAAAATCATAAAAATATTTCCAAGGAGAAGAAATGGAAGTTGGCTGAAGGGAAATGAAGTTTTGTTGTTGTTTTTAGTTAAAGTCTAAACAGAGAGTTGTAAGCAGAGTTGAGCCCTGCAGCTGGTCCTGAACTCAAATGTTTCCTTCAGTCCCACTGCTATAAATGCAAAACAAATGACATATGAAATACTATTGCTGTTTCACATTAACACTCCTGAAAGTAGTTTTCCACTGGAACTGAGAGAAGTTCTGCTAAAATAATCCATGTTTTCTGATGCAGTGTATTTATTACACTGGATTGACACCTTGCTTCTAGTTAAATACTTTTCCACACATCCAGGTAGAAATACAAAATGGAGGTCTTAACAAATAGGAATAAATGCAGCTGGAAAGAATGCATAGGGACCCCCCCCCCCTTTTTTTTTTTTTTTTTTAAATAAATCTTGCAACTGCAGCAATTTACACTTTTCCCAGTAGGGTGATTTTTTCCTCTCCAAAATATAGATGTGAATAACATGAACTTATGTTTATGAGATGATGGATGCTTAAAGGCTGCCAAGTACCTTGGACTGACTTTTAGGAGGGTTTGGAGTATTCTCTTTTCCTGAACATACAGGAACAGAGAGGAATCGGTGTCTCAAGTCAGGCTGAAAATGCTGATCTTGGGTTTTGCTTGGGTTCCTGCTCTCTTGGTTGGTCTTGCTGAGCTGTGTGGAGACTGTAGGTTCAGGGAAAGTGTCCACAAATCCCACCAGCAATTATGGAAGTGGCCCAAGACATGGAGAGGGTCTTTGAGAAGCAATGTCTTTACTCATGTGTCCACGTTGCACTTCAGGGCATAACAGGGAAAGGGGAATGATGGCAGGTAGAAATAAGGACTGCAAAATAAAACAAACCAACACACACACAAAAGTATGGCTATAAATTTCTTGTCAGATTTCATAATAAACAACAACAAGGTGAACTAAAACCACTTGAGGGGCTACTTTAATTCTCCTGTGTCTCCAGAACATTTGCCTTTAAAATGCTGGACAAACTAATAAAATGGAAGCTGTTTTTTAATAGCATAAAATTGTCTATCTGGTCCCCTAAATTCCAAGAGTCCTCTCACACTTCTCTTGTTTGCTTGGCATCAGAACATATGGAGAATGAGGAAATACCCCAGGAAGCCAGGGATTATTTGGAAAAGTTGTAGCATGAGGACAGTGATAGGGAAAGAAGAGTGGTTTTCTTTGAAGGAGTTGATGAAACAGTGCTAGAAATAAGAGGTGCTTGTGTAAAGGGAGTAGTAAGAGATATAGATGGGTGTGAAAAAGGTGGCTGTAGTTTTCTGGGGTACAGTTATGCTCAAGCCAGCAGTGCAAGCAGTTCCTGCACTATTGCAGGGGAATCCAGGGTGATGCAGAGCTGCTGCTCCTACTATATAGCTAAGGGAGCTGGGTGGTGTTTCTGTGATTGCCCAGTAGAGGAGACACATTCATACTTAGCAGCTTCATACCTGCTGGTGCAGTGCTGGTTCTCACTGCAAACTGTACCTCCAGCAGCTGGCAAAGATCTTCCTTCAAGAAAAGAGAGAAAAGCTAAAAGCCAAAAGAAGGGAGGGGGAGTGGAGTGGAGTGGGCAGTGGCAGACAGGACATGACAGAAGAAAAACAAGAATAAAAAAAACCCAAAACATTCTTGCTGCATTTACTGGAAAGCTCAGTACCCAGCATTGAGCCTCACAACTTGCAGGAGTTTGGAGCAAATATTGCCAAGACCCAGGTGCCAAGAAATACCAAGATTCCCTGTAAAATCCTGTGATTTACAAGGAAGAGCTCATGGCCTGGTTTGCTGGAAATGGAGTATGGCACGAATACATTATGGTTTTTCTCCCTGTCATTTTCAAGGCTACAGATTCATCATCTTTTACACATCTCCTTTCCTGTGTCACTTTTTGCATGTCACTTAGTGTCACCCGGGCCTTTAATCTGTCTGGAGAGAAATATGACAAAGCTGAAGGGACCAAAAAGCTGTTGTAAAAGGGATAAAATGCATGAGCAAAAGCAGAGCAACCAGAGCTTTAATGATGAGTGTTTTTTACCTCTTTCTCCCTATAAAATTTCCGTAGCCTGATGTCTGACAGTAATAGTTCATTGAACAGGCATTAGGTTTGTTCCTATGGTTTTTAGTGTAAATTGCCATCATCCCTTAAGTGTTCTGGAATGAAGAAGCCTGTGTGTTTCAGCCTGGGATGATAAAAGGAAGCTCAAAATGCCAAGTGCCAAATGCAGCTCTGCTGCCCATAGTAAAGGAGTGTGAAAAAGAGAGGAGGTTAAGTTCTTCTGGTTTTCATGGTGTTTTTGTTGGTGGTTTGTTTTTTTTTTTGTTTGGTTGGTTTCGTTTGGTTTTGTTTGTTTGTTTATTTTGGGGTTTTTTGTTTGGTTGTTTTTTTTTTAATATGAACCCTTTTAAAAGTTAATGTTGTGAGGTACTGACACCACGTAGTATTTGAGACTTTATTTGAGACTTTTTCATTTAGTTCTGTGTTTTCCTCCCCAAGGTGTCACTGATAATTTGATCTCACCTTCTTTGAAAGTTCCTGTGCTTGGTAGGCTTTGCCACCCTCCGTTCCAGGAATGCGTAGGGGGACTTCAGGATGTCCTTCAGCTGGGGGGAAAAGCTTTTGCATTTCTGTGCATCCTGCATTCCCCATTCAACTCCCTGTATCATGAAGCTTTTAGTCTCTTTGGCGATATTGCAGAAGGTAGCATGCATTTGAAGAGGTTAAAAATGTGGTGTTCACAGACAACTTTCTGGGTTGTGTGTTTTCACTTCTGTTTTATGTATCCAAGTTCTTGCATCAAAACACAGGGCCACAAGGAAATGCTTGAGCATTCAAAGCAAATGCTTCCTGGAAAAGAGAAAGAAAACACAACAGAGATGAACCCTAAATGTGTTTGTTCCTCCCCCACCTCAAATTCCTCATAATTCTGGATCTTTACTCATGATTTTGAAATATATCTTTGATCCATTGCTGTTATTCTGTGTAGTGTGGCCAGTGCTGTCCCTTCAGCCAGGAAGACTATTGATTAGACCAGTGAAATTGCTTTTTGAAAGGCACATTGAGCCTAGTAAAGGATTTTTGTTGAAAGTGAAATTTTGGATGATGTTCAAAGCCTCTCCTGGAGAAATGCCCGCTTGCATGGTCGGAGCTACGTGTCATATCCCAGCATGGGTGAGGACAGTTATCTTTTTTGTTAAGAAAATTATTTTTCTGTCTATATAATAAAACTAGTCGCTTGCTGTGATAACTGTTGTCTTTCAGCTAGAAAACATGAGAATGTCCCAGCCCTCTGGATTATCTGGTATCCAGCAAAACAGCCTGATGAGCAAGCATATCAGCTCTTATTATTCTTTCCATGAAATTAAAGAAATTAGGGAGCTTAAGGCAGTCGCTAATGAATCAATTTTAATTTATAGGCTCAAATAAAATCTGCATTAAGGCTGACAAACTGTAGCCTCAGGTAAACACAAAGCATATCCACTGCAGACCTAAATGAATTCTGTGCTGGATGTCACAGCTTCTGTCAGAAGAGCAGGAGGGTCAGGGGTCCCATTTCACATCAGAGAAGACAGAATTCTAAAGAAAATAAATGCAGTGGTCTAGCCGTTAGGAGGTCTCTTTCTGGCATGTAAAAGCAGAAAAATCAAAGACTAATAATATTTCTCTCTTTTTTCTTTAAACAAATAAAGAATCAGAAGATCTTTCTGTATAGAATCACTCTTTGCTAAACATTTTTCATCACCAATTGTACATTAGAGGTGCTTGTCCCATGAAATCAGAGGCAAATAAGGGTTTCTAGACATGGACGAGTCAGTCACCCATGGACCTGTATATGCCTCAGGAAGAGCATCTTGCACAACCCAACCTCTGTGTGTGTGCTCTTAAGCTGAAAGATGCTCACTGCAGCAGGCAGGGTCATTCTTTCTGTGTGTCTTCTTCACGGAGAGCAATATTTTTGGAAAAAGTACCTAACTTCAGGAGATGCATTCATGCTGGGCAGAATGATGGAATAAAACTTAGCCATGTGCCTAATGCAAGAGTGTTGTCTTGTGAATGATCAGACTGGGAAGTTTCCCTAATAGGCCTTGTATAAAAAACATTATTTTGGTTTTTAGACAGCTTATTTGGTGATTTTTTTTTTTCTTTCCACTCAAGTGTTGGTGTTTCTAGTCTTTGTTTTGGCTTAAGCAGTATTATATAAGAAAACTGGTTTTGTGGGAACACTTTAGAAAAATGTTGCAAAACATACTGTTGTGTCTGCTGTAAAAGATGCAATGATTATTTTTTGTCACCGTTGTTGGCTAAGTCCTTGCATTTTGTTTGGTGAGGATGCTGATATTAAAGAAATATCTCCTGGAGGGGAAGGGTCGTGCCACCATGCCTCTTCTCTTTTGGCAATAAGCTGATGAAGATGTCGGTGCTTGCTCTCAGCCTCTGCGAGCTCACTGCTGAGCTTCCCCAGCTGATGCTGAAGTCCTGGCTCCTGCCTCTTTTTGACACGGGAGGGGCCACTCAGCTTCTTGCCCTGTCCTTCTGCCTGCTCTGTTCCCTGACTCTCATCCTTGTTGCTTTCCAGATGCAGTAATCGGACCCAGTGTGCAGTTGTTGCCGGCCCTGATGTGTTTCCAGACCCGTGCCCCGGGACCTACAAGTACCTGGAAGTGCAGTACGAGTGTGTCCCTTACAGTACGTATCCTGATACATTTGCACTTGTCTTTTTCAGTAGAGATTTATTGTGGAGATTGGGCCAGCCTTGAGCTTGTCTCTTGTTGCTCAAGGGCAAGTAAAGCAGGCCACGTGCATCATATGAGACTGATAAGATATGAAAAATGGTGTCAGGTTTGTGCTTAGGTTAAAAATATCCTAATAATGTCCCGTGTTGTACAGCATAACAGCAACATATCATCTTTTGGAAAGCACTTGGGAAACACCATTAGAGAAAGCAGACCAGAAGAGTGAAGCACTATTGCTAGCTTACAGCTTCTCTTTATAGGTTTATGCTTGTAATCATACAGCAGTGTGCTTTGACTGACCTATGTCCATGTAATTGGTGGCATTTGATAAGTGCCTTAAATACAGTATTGTATCACCAAGGAGGTGGGAAGCTATTGTTTTGGGTAATTTGATGTTTGATGGTAGAAAAATACTAATTTATAAGCTTCCAAAGTTACGAAGGCAAATTACAGGCAAGCCATTTAGACTGAAATTTTGAGGGTAGAAAGCCAATCACCTGAGATCTCAGCAATATGTGCCAAGTGGGAAATTCAGAGTTACAAGAGGTTGCGTACCTCAGAATTAACTTTCTGTAGAAACCAAATTTGTTACATGCAGTTAAAGCCCTTCTGCCAGAAAGGGCGTACCTGGAAAAGGAAATAGCAGTGATAATATGAGAAGTGCACTTTTTATTAGCAGTTGTAGAGAGCTGAGTGGTGAATAACAGCGCCACTTCCAGGTTTTCTGTTTCTGTTTGAGCAGGCCAAAGCTGCTTATAGCACACCTCTCAAAATAATAAAGCAGGTATGGGAATGTATACTTTAACCCACAGTGTTGTGCTGAGAGAACAGCAGGAGGCATCAGTTTGCTGAAACCCAGAGCCTGGCTTTGTTGCCATCTTTGTTGCCTCAAGCATGGGCTGCAGGAGAGCAGATGTGGCTGAGCAATGACAGATACCCAATCCAAAGGGGAATCTGGGGGTGGTCCCCATCCCTCAGGCAGGAGGTGGCCACGTGCCTGCTCCTGTAGCCTGGAAAAGACTGTGTGGTGTTTGGCTTCTGTGAAATTCCAAGATCACCTCTCTGAGTAAAGAGGACCTCTCTATTGAGGGACTTGGATACTCTGCTGGCAGTGATCTCAGTGTGTCCATATTTGATTTTTCTAAAGAAAACTGTGAAGCTTCTAAATGCAGCAATGGAATACTTTTTATGGGGTGAGCTATTAAACCCACGGAAAGATTGACATCAGGGCTTAGAGTCTGCCCTATCAAGCAGAATATACTCCAAATTATAGTTTGGAGTTACTCCACTCTAAATGAGGCTTTTCATTTCAGAAGCAACACTGTGCATGGAAAGGGTTAGGGAAGATTGGTTTCAACTTATCACAGCAGGTTGTATTTCCTTGTGATTTATGGTTTGCATGAGGGTATGCTGTTCCCTCCAGAGACTGGGCTGGTAAAGCAATAGTCATTACCTGGTGCCCCTCCACAGCCTTTGTTGCACATAAAACAAAGAGGAATAGTGGTGCCTTGTGAGAAAGACAGTATGTCAGTATTACACCCCGAGGTGTTAATTGGCCCTGTGTACAAGAGGTAGAATAACTCTTGTGAGAGGTTGCTCAGTAGCAAATGTACAGTAGGGATTGAGTATTTTTTAATGATCTGAATGTAGGGAGGAAAAGGATGACAACTGACATGCTGCCTTTGCAATTAAGGTCGGAGCTCTGATGGCTGTTTCTTCTGTTTCTTTATGACTCAAGTATAGTGCTTCTGCAAGTAGAGTTGGGGGAAAGACAAAGAGTGAGCACATGATGAAATAGGAAACAGTCTTCTGAGGCTGTTGTGTGTTACCTAGGAAATTTTGGGCCAAGTCTTCATGTGTTATTATTCAGTGCAGCACCAGTGAAATAGGTTGTGTTTAGGCAAACCGTGTCCCTTCATGTGCCAACATGGGGTGGGAAACCTAGAGCTCCATTTTATTCTTCTCCTGCCTCAGTCTCTGCCTGGCTTTGTTACTGCCTCTATTTCTTCCCTCAGAATGGTCAGATTAACGTTGTGGGTGTTCCCCACCTAGGCCCCACGAGTGTCCCATAAGTGAAAGCCATCCAAGTGATGGGGAAGGTGTTAGCTCTGGGCAAGTAGGTCAGCAAAGGCCTGGCTGGACCAAAGCCACGCCTGGTGGGTGAAATCTGTTCCTCCTTTTATGCCCTGTTATCATCAGAGGTCAGTTCTTGTCACTGAACCCACATGCCTCAGCTCCTGTGCAGCCAGCCTTTGGTGAGAGGTGGGGTCTGCCATATGGCCATCTCCTAAAGGAACACCTCAGTTGCATAATGAAGGGATTAATATTTCAGCAGGAAGTTGTACTTGTGTGCAATTCCAGCTTGCCTTTGCCTGGTTGGATGGGTTACTCCTCACAGTTTCAAATTATTCTTTATGGACAGAGAGTGGGCTTACCCAAGTGCTGGCTGAGCAGCAGAAGGGAGGTTGTGTGCATCTCAAGAGGAGAGGGTTTGGGAGTCATCTTTAACAGATGTTGTTAGAACTGACCTTAGGCACTTGTGCTCAGTATAGTGCTAGCGTATATGCTCCCCCAAAGAAAAAACATGGAAGATTTAAAACTCCATTTGTTAGTCTGGTTCTCTTGAGGTTTTATTAGTTATTTATTAACTCTTCCACCACTAGCTCATAATGTTTTCTAGAGGAAAGCATCCCCCTTTCCTCTCAGATGAAGGAAATGCAAATATCCTCTGACTTAAGTAGCTCATATATTGTAAAATGTCCTTTACATTACCCCACACACCACATTCCTGTGTGTTCACCAGAGATAGCCCTGACAAGAAGAGTTTTATGAGGCTGCAGTTACTCTCAACATGTGGACAAGATGAGAGATGATTATGCAGATAGCCCAGTCCTCGCCTCATATTCCTGATCCTGTAGTTGCTTTATCTGGTAGCAGCAGCCTTCTACTAGAATGGACAGTCATTCCAGGACATCTGGGCATCTTCGGTTGCCCTCTGACAATGAAAAGCAAGTGAAAAGTAGGTGATATCAGCAGGTAAAAAAAAATACCAGACCTAATTTGTCAGGCTTCAGTGGCATCAGTTGTCCTATTTTTCTGGTATCAGAAAAAATTATCCAAGTAATTTTGTCTTTCTCAAAGCATGTGGCATCTATTTCTCTAACACTCGCTTTAGGTACTGCCCATTTTTTTCTGAAATACTTAAGTCGCTACTCTAGTTTTCTTAAATTGAATTTGCTTTTAATAATTACTTACCAAGAGAGATTTTACATGGTTTTCAACTGAATATGTGCTACTGCAAACCTGCAGTCTGCCATTGCCAGGGCTGTGGACATGTTTCATCGTGGAGAGGTGATTGAAACTGCATTTAAGCTGTTTTGTGGTGTGATTATGAGAAACCTGACATGAGGAGGGTCCCCTAGATCCAGTACCCTGTTGTTTCCTACTACATTCCTTCCCCTTCTCCCTTTACAGAGCAGAGTTAAATGGGTAATGGGAACAGCAGTGGTGGAGGTTGTTTTGTAAAGCTAGGTCAACACTCTTACTGCAGAAACACTTCACTATCATCTTCTGGTGCTTGTACAATCCTGTTGTCATGGTGCCAGTACATCTAAGAGTGTAATTTTTCTTATTCCACCTTTGTAATGTGCTAAGGGCCTTCCAGTTTTACTCATGAGCCAGCACAGAAAGCAGACGAGTGATTTATCTAAAGCTGTACATAAGACCAGTGGCCAGCAAGAGAGCCCAGTTTTGCAGGAGCAGTGGTGTTGGGAGAGCTGCCCAGCTAGTTGTCATTGTAATCAGACAGATTTTCTGTCAGTAACAGGATAAACCCCAACCCACCCTTGGGTTTTGTTAATACTGCCTCTGTATGTGCGTGGCACTTCACAGCTCAAACCATCCATGTTTTAGTAGTTCTGCAGGTATTTCTGAGAAGGAGGAATAGAGTGAACAACCCAGGTGAGGCTCCCTTTTCTCTCTCAAGCACATGTGCCCTGTGGGACATGGCAGTGGCACTGCCCTTCGTGGGTGGCACTCCAGATCAGAAGAAGGGGAAATTCCAACATGTGAGCAGCTATCGCCTACTGGATTAAACTGAAATTTAGGGATTGTCTGCATTTAGTTTTTATTTGGGTTTTGAAAATGGTATGAGTTGAAAGCACCAAGGGTATTTTGGAATGCTTTCTTCTGTCCATTTCCCTGTAGAGGCAACCTTACAGGCTCCCAAGGATCCAGCACAGTGTTGAAAAGAGGATTTAGGTATCTGAGTCAGATTTACCTTCAGTTTTTCCAGTGGTCCCAGTACCCGTAGGTTCTAGCTTTTGGAGGTCACAGAGTAACTTGTGCACTGTTGTCCTTCAGAAGCAATCTGTTTTTTAAGCAGGGATTTGAAAAATTTAAGCTATGGGATAGGGCAGAATGGCAAAAGGGTGGTGACTCAACAAGGACAAGCCCATTGCTGCACTGATGGAAAGGATGGCAGCAGCAGGAGGGTGCCTCAGGCATGGCATACCCTGCTGTGATGATAACCTGCCTCACAGCCAGGCCACAAGTCTTGCATCAGCTTTTCATATTGGGGAGATCTGTTCAAGGGGATGTTTCTTGCACGGGAAAAATGTTCATGGCTTCCAGGGAAGGATGAATTGTTCTTTCTTTCCGTTCTGTGTAAATGGGCTAAGGTGAAGGCACCACACATCTCTGGTGCTTACAGAGAATTTCCTTCTTCTTTAATACTAACAAGAGGAAGGGGGAAAAAAAAACCCCAACACATGAGCATATTTCATCCTTTCTTTTCTTAGGACTTTTTTTCTTTTTAAACATGGAATCTGAAATCACATTTCCCAGTTGCTGTAGTGATGGAAGAAAAGGTCATAGCCTTGCTAGAAATATTCCTTTTATTGTTGATAGAAGAGTAGATGGGCTCACATATCAATAAAAGTGAGGGATAGTAAG